AACGAAAGCAGAGATAAGAGTGTAATTATTTTGAATCGTAGCTAGGCTGGATAGCACACCCAATTTTCAGCTCCGATGGAGACTATCCGGCAGTCATGATTGATCGTATTGCCAACCACAGCAAAGCGGAAGGTCGTTTGGTTTCACGATTACCGACATTCTCTAAGCATTGGAAAAGGACAATTCAAGGAACGTCTGATTTTTTTGGTTTAAACTATTATACAAGTCGGTACATTCGAGAATCATTGGAACCAATTGGTGAGAACCCATCAGTTGCACGCGACAGGGGAAATGAAAGATTTACAAAACCTGAATGGATTAAAGGTGCATCAGATTGGTTATATTCGGTTCCAAAAGGACTTGGCGATCTTTTAAGGTGCATTCACAATTTCTCAATATTTTTTTTTTTTTTTGAAAACATATTACGATAATATTTCATACCGTATTCGACCAAAGATGGATCAAAGCGGAATATAATAATCCAGAAGTAATAATCACTGAGAATGGTTGGTCCGATGATGATAGGCTTGAAGATGACAGTCGCGTCACCTATTTTCATGATCACTTGGAACAAGTTTTGGATGTCATTTTAAATAACGGTTGCAACGTCAAAGCATTTTCAGGTGCGACCTCTTTACATACATTTTTGTTACTTTGTTTTTAACATTTATGCTTTTTAGTATGGTCTCTGGTAGATAATTTCGAATGGAGTCAAGGCTACACGTAAGACCATTGAATAGATTGATTTCTTCCTACAAAATTAATGAATTATCTTCATTTTAGTGAAAAATTCGGAATGTTTTTCGTTAACATGTCATCGCCGCGGAAAGAACGAATTCCAAAAAAATCCGCATATTTCATGGAAGAATTGATTAAAAAACGAAGCATTCCGGGAATATACTAATGTCATTCATAATAATGAGTCATTTTTTATTAAGACAAATGTATATTTATTTAAATTGATATTTAAATTAAAGAAAAGCTCGTTATTATACATTACAACTTCTAATTTAAATGTGTCTATCAGAAATGATAATTGGTGATTAAAGGCAATATATTGTCGATTGTAAGTATGTTGCAAAAACAATAATCACGAGGAAAATTCTCTTTTTTTGTTCTTCACGTGTGGTTGAGCATATGTTGGCACTATTTCAAGCTTCCGTTGTTTTCTTATTGAATATGTTACCATCCATTCAGTTAAGTCGTTTCACTTGTTACGTATTTCGATGAAATTCAAACGATTTTTGCCTCGACATTGAACTACTGTAAGTACATAAGAACACATGTAAGCGCATCAAAAGTTATATGCGTTCATTTATTTTCGTGGGTTGAGTGCATAAATGTTTATATTGCATTTTCCCCATATTAAATACAATAAATCATCCTCAGTGCTGCAATGTGATTGAATGGCTATCGGAAAAAATAATCGAAAAATATTGGGAATAGGTTTATTTATGTGAAAAGGGATTAAATTAACATTTCAATTTCGAACGCTTTTAGTTGAGGCTACAACAAATATATTTCATCCTCTTTCCATCACCGGTGACAAGTTGAACATGAATTGACATGGAATTCTCGAATAAAAACCACAAAATCATGTGAATATGTACTTTCTATAGATTTAGATGGAAATTTCAACTTGATGCTGTCGTATTTGATGGAAATACGATGAATAAAAAAAAGTAATCTAAACATTGCCGCTCAACTTAAACTATAGCAACGGATGGGAATATCTCGACTCCGACAGACTTTCAATTTCAAATCACCATTTTATAGTTGAAAATAGTTAGGTCTGATATGGCTTTAGTAGATACAAATTAATTATAATGAAGAGTGATGGAGTGTGTCACAGAATGCATTTAGAAACAACTTTTGATTGCAATAACGATGACTCGGTTATGTTTATTGACTCTTATTCCATTATGGCGTTAGGTATTACAAATTTTTACTTTGAACATTAAATTTTATTCTGGATCACTAATAGAAATAGAAAATATCATGAATATAAAGGCATAACATTAGAATTTCATTTCTATTTGTCTTCGTTTAAACCATTCTATTTTTAAATATATTATTGTGATCAAAAATCTCTTTTTTTTCCAAATTTTCAAATAACATGTTATGATTGATGATATTAACTGAATAATATAATAAAGACTATTATAATTCGGATTCTCAACAATCCAAATATATTTATATTCACTTTTAACACACAAAATCCATATAGTTTGGCTTAAATTAATACAATCGAAGCGATCGAAGCAAAAAATATCGATCAGGGTCAATTATCATTTCTAAGAATCGCCAAAGGCGAGACGAGTTTCTGTTGCTACAATACATAATCCATACATTTTTTCATTCGAGCCTGCTCGTGGGCCTTATTAATCGTTTTGTTTGAGATTCGAATGTGATAATCCAAAATCCATTTTTAAATAATTCCACTTGAACTGGTCATTTGTATGAATTCGTTCAACTCTCTCAAGAATGGAAAGTCCTTGCTAACCAATAACTTTGCGGCATACTCGTAAATGGTTTCTGAATTCTCAAAGCAATAGATTTGAGCTGCCGTAATTAAATTTAGTAATTTTGAAAAATTGATTGTGTTCATTTGAACCATTTCGATAGAGGAACGCAAATGTTTTTCGTTCTGATAGTGCAACAGTTATCTTTCGATCAAAATTGTGTACATTTTTCAAATTATTATTCAATATTTTTTTGACTAATTCTTTTCTGATTTCTAGATTCTGATTTCTGATAGGTTGCCATTATGAAAAGAAAGATTTATTATTATTCATTATTAATTGAGTAATTTCTTTTTGATTTCTATATTAAGGGCGGATCTATAAATCTAAATCAATAATTGTTTTGGACATTTTTCAAAGGATTGTGTATTTTTGACAGAACATCTGCTGCTGACAATTATTGAAACTATGCATAATAAACTCAATCCGCTTTGATATGAAATTATTATCTATCCACAAAATATTGAGTGACATAATAATGTTTCATTCTCATATTTATTTATTTATTGCAATAAATGTTTTGAATATATTTGATTCTACCCCAGATTAAAAATGCAGATAAGTGGCAATTTTGTGTTGTAATTTCT